TAGTTGATAATTTTTTATTGGACATTACAGGCTGTTGTGATTTATACTAGATGTCCTCTAAAGCCTCATACACTCATAGGTGGGGCTTTTGAGAGGTTACTGGATCATGTGGACATGATATTCATTAGTTGATGAGTATCTCTTCATACTTGATCTCTGCTTCCTGCTACCATGCTGAGAGCCAGGGACTATGGACTGAAAACTCTATAAACTGTGAGCTGAAATAAACCTAGGTTGTGGGCATCGAAGATTGTATTGGTTTTGAAGAAAGTAACTAAGACAGAGCCCTAAATAAAATTTTTCCATTAAACATCTGTGTTGGGATAAGAGCTACAACTGTACTCTAGCAGATGCAGGCAAATGGGGAAATGCTGTCAACAGCAAAACAAGAGATGTTACTGGCTCGTCTTAGCTACTTTCCTCATTTCTGGGATGAAATATCCACCACTCACAACTTAAAAGAGGAGAGGGCTACTTTGGCTCATAGTTTGTAGAAGTTTCAGTTCATAGTTGACTGGCTCCAAGGCAGAACTGCATGAAGGAAGGATCTGAACAGAGGAAAGCTGCTCATGATATGGCAGACAGGGAGCAAAGAACGTGAAGGGAGGAACCAGAGAAGGCAATATACCTTTCTGGGCCATGCTCCCAGTGACCTACCTCTTCCAACCAGGCCCTACCTCTTAACAGCAAGCGAGCTATGAAAGCCCCCATAATACAATCACCTCCCAAAGGTCCCACCTGTGAGTGCATGAGGCTCTTGGGGGACATCTAAATATAAACCATAACATTCCACCCCTGATCCCCAAAAGATGCATACACATCTCTTTATGCAAATGCATCTAGTCCATCTCTGAGAATTGCCAAAGTCTTAACAGTTCCAGCATTGCTGAAAAGTTCAAGTTCAAAGTATCCTCTGAGACTTAAGGCAAACTCTTAGCTGTGAACCTCTATAAAAGTCAAAAAGGAAGTTAAACCTTCTGATATACAATGGCATGTGGTGCACACTTCCATTCCAAAAGGGGGGAATAGGGGGATACAGACCAATGAGACAAAAGTAAGACTGAAAACCACCAGGGAAAACATCAAATCCTATAGCTCCAAGTCCAGCATCTGGGGCAAGTTGTGGCCCTGCCCCCATGGCATTGCTGGTGGCTCTATCTCTCCTGGCTTCTGTCTTTGCTGGCTTTGCTCATGCCTTATGGCTTTCCTAAGACATCCCACTCCCTTGTTACTCTGACTTTCTGGAGTCTCCACTTTCAACTTCATTCTTACAGTTTCATGCACTTCCTTCTTAGGGGCACACTGCCTGGTCTCCCAGGTCTTCTTGTGAAATCTGAGTGGAAGCCTCCTTGACCCACAACTATTTCATCATGCGTGCCTACAAAACCAGCACCAGTGGATGACACCAAGGTTTGCCACCAGCTCAAGCAGTAGCCTGGCTCCCTTGTATCATGGCTACAGAGGTCTTTGAGGTGGATGGCTGAGTGCCATATCTGAATCCCAGAGAACAAATTCCCTAGGTGGCCAAAGTGTTACAGCATGGTGCCCTGGGGCTCTCTTCTCAAAGCAGTCTTTCACTTTTGCAATTTTGAGCCCTAGAAAGGTAGAAGGGCTTGCTGATCCTTTATATGCCCTCAAGGCATTTTTCCTATTGTCTAGATCCAAAGTACTTGGCTTCTTTTAATGCTGATCTTTTCAGGACCAAGCTTTCCTCTGGTCTATCTGTGGCAAAACTGAAAATATTTTAAATAGGCTTTTTGTTCCTGTTTTGTAGTATAAACTTGGCTAAACTCTGGCAGCACAACCCATGCCACAGCCTGAACATTGGGCTGCCTTGAAATTTTCTCTGCCCTTAATCTTAGTCTCCCACAAAGTCTCAAGACTTGAGAAAATGTAGACAAATTTTTCTACTGGAATATAACACGCATTGTCTGCAGTTTGACTGCCAATGGAGTCCTTTAAAGTGTCCTGAGACTGGTCTTTGCCATCTGCATTTCTATCAGCATTCTGGTCTACTGCACTCTGACCAGAATTTCCCATCCAGCTTGGCTTATAGCATTCCAGGGCTGCTTCTCCAAACAGCATCTTCAGACCTTTCCAAACTTTACCCATGAACTGGTTCTAAAGGCTCTTGAACCACATGGTTGGCTCTAGTCATGGCAAGGACCCTACTTCTCTGGTACCAAAATCTGACTTGGTCACTTTCCTCGTTTCTGGAACAAAATACCCAACACCTACAACTTAAAAGAGGAGAGGTTTATTTTGGCTCATACTTTGTAGAGGTTTCAGTTCATAGGTAGCTGGCTCTGAGGCAGAACATCATGATGGAAGGGCCTGGGAGGAGGAAAGCTGCTCACATCATGGTGGAGAGAAAGCAAGAACATGAAAGAGGGAGTTAAGGAGGGAGAGATATCCTTCTGGGCCATGTTGTCAGTCACTCATCTCTTCCAATCAGGCCCCACTTCCTAATAATAAGTTAGCTATCAGCTGTCATAATCCAATAACCTCCCAAAAGTCCCACCTGTGTGAGCATGAGGCTCTTGAGGGACATCCAGACATAAACCATAACATGGTTGTTCCAACCTACAGTAAGAGCTGACATTTATTTCACTCCTACTGTGTGCCAGGCATTGTACTAAGTACTTTACATATATTATTACATTCAGTACTAACGACAATAATAATACATTAAAAAGTTACTCAACATTATTAAGCATCAGGAAATTATATATTAGAATCACAATGAGATGCCATTCCCAAAACAACCCAAAATTCCAAATTTGCCAGTGATGTAAATTAGTGGAAATTCTCATCCATTCCTGGTAATAGTGTAATGAATGTGATCACTTTGGAAAAACAATTTTTCAGTGTCTATAAAGTGAAATTACACTTATCATATGATTCATCAATGTGATTCTTCGATATTTCCCCAAGAGGGATTAAAAACATATTATCTACACAGACTTACAAAAAAGAACCATAAAGGAGCTTTCTGGTATGGAGAAATGTTCTAGATCTTGTTTGATTGTAACATACAAATTGGTAAATGTCATTAAGTTGAACACATAATATCTGTGGATTTTATTTTATGCAAATTAAGCTTCAATTTAAAAAAACTATGTGCCATAGTTATTTAATGATACCACTAATGTTGGATATTAGTTTGTCCAATTTTTCACGCTCACATTATATGATGAATATTCTTGTGCACATATAAAGTTACTAATGCTCAAAATTTTGACCTATAAAAATAACACTTTAGTGGTCTTACCTAATAATTTTTTTATTATGTTGGATTATTTCCTGAGGTTCAATTTTCAGAATTGGGTAACTTGAGCAAAATTTATGAACAGGTATTGATGAATATTGTTAAATTGCTTTCCCTACTAACATATTAGTATTTATAAATATATTCTTCTACCAACCTTTTCTTTAAATATCTGATGTGCACCTTATTTTTTAATTATTTATATTTTTGTAACCAAGACAAGCTACAATTCTGCTGCTACTTGATATGGCCAATGACCCAAGAGACAGAAGCAAGAGCTATATTTGGTGGCTAAAGAATGAAGAATTGAGAGCTTTGGTCCCAGGTTAACTTCTCAGCTCAAGGGAGCTGAGTTAGATATAACATAGGCATAAGGAGGGAGAGGGAAGATACTACAGAGGAGGAATATTCATATCTTTTCTAGGACTAGGCAGAGATCATCCAGGAACTTGGGTGCTACCTCTTCATTCCTTTTATGGCCTGGTGTTTCTGGCCATGGCAGGTGGCAGGTGTCTTTAACCTTGAAGGGGGAGAGAGAGGCACTAGAAAAGTACCTCAGATTAAGCCTGCATTATAGTTTTGGAGAAAATCATTTCTCAAATGATCATCGGGCCTTTGTGTACCACTGAGTAGAATCTGACTCACAAGGCAGCAAAGGCACAGATATGATATGAAAACAGATGCCAATCCTTTCTATCAGCTTTAAGTCACTCGACATCAGACAGCTGCAGGCCCAAGGGAAGAATCAATGTTTTCAGGAAAAGTGACCTTCAAGACCCTGGAAAGTAACCTAGGCAACCATTATAAAGCCACATTGCAGACATGTTATTGACAGCAGAGCTACAGGGATACTAATATAATTTGTCCACCTGCACGACCTCCAACATTAGTGATTTTTAAGTCAACTAAGAGCAAGTGAAGCTAGAGGGTTTATTTAGGTTTTGCCATGCTATCTATTTTGATAGGTAACTGTATCTTTCACAACTATACTTATTCTCCGCTTCCCAGCTCTCTGTACCTCTCTGTGGCTTGTAGCATCTTCTTCATCATGTATGTGCATATGGCATAGTGCCCAACAGTAAAAAGGAACTAATCATTACTTTCTCCTGGAGGACAACAATCCCTTTTGTTTTGGCATTTTCCAGTATGATGCCTCATGCATTTAATTCATTTATTCAACAAACATCTCAGAGTTTACACAAGGGGACCAGTAACTGTGATCAGTGCAGTAGACATTCAGAAAGCTCGCTGACGTTGAGATGATACTGTCTCGAATATCCCTTTATTATATAGATATTTTCTTAAAAAGCCCCTGCTTTTTAATAAAATTCCCAGATGGCAAACTTCTCATGTCTACTGAGCTCTGAAAGTTTAGTCTCTAAATGTATAAACTAGGTAAGCACAGTTCCCTCTGGACTGTAATAATCCCTTAAAACGCACCCCAGAGCAGCGCTTTAAGGAACTTAGGTCGGGCAGAGTTAATCAGTAAAATCTAGGGCAGCTTGGTGGCCAAGGACTTTTCACAAGACTCAGGAGGGCGGCGGAGTCCTTAACACTTTAAGTACAGCACCAGCGCAATGAATATGCAAATCGCGGCAGATAGGAGCTCCCTCCAGTCCCAGGAAGGCCCGCAGGTTCCTCGCTTATACCCAGCGAGGGGCGGGGTCGTGAGTGGGCGCGGTCTCGCCAGGCGGGGCCTCGTCTCGCCCCACCCCCGGCAGGAAAGGGCGGGCAGCGCCACCCCCTATGCTCGCTCCCGACGTGGGACTCCGGGCGCGGGCGCGCGGGGGTGTCTTGAGCGCGCGCCCGGGCCAGTGACTGGCTCGGGGATGGATGACGGCTCGGTCGCGGGCGAAAGGCCGAAGCGCCAGTCGGGTCGCCGGCGCCTCCTGCTCTTCCTGCCCGAGGGCCGCTGCGGAAGCCCGGGCGGCTTCGGAGGCCCTGCGCGCCGCGGCCTCTCCCCGCTGCCCAGCGGGCCGGGGGCGCTGCGGGCCCGGGGCGGCGCGTCACGTTCGTCGCCGCTGCTCCTCCTCCTGCTCTTGCCGTCCCCACGCCGGGCCGCCGCCCCGTGCCGCCCGCTGGCCGACTGGGAGCTCGCGCGACCCGGGCCTCAGGCGCCCCCGGCCGGGCGCGGCGCGTGGAGGGGCCCGGCGGGGACCGGGGCGGCCGGGGCGCTCCTGTCCTCCAGGAGAGGTGAGGGCCGGGCGCCCGGGCGGCGGGAGGCGGGCAGGTGAGCCGGGGATACCGGGGCGAAGGTCTGGGCCCGGCTGTCCCGGAGGCCGCTCCCGGGGGAGGGCTGTGCGCCCCAGGATGCTCCGATCCGCCGGCCGCCCACCTGCGGGCGCCTCGGAGAAGGGCGGGCCGCGTGCACTGTGCCGAACTGAGCTCTCGGGGGTGTGAGCGCCGTTTGACAGTTTCACTTAAAACCCTGATAGAGTCCAGTGGTGCATCCAGGAAGCACTGAGCCTAACCTGTATCTGGCACTTCTCCAGACCTGCGGTATAGACCAGTCAGCACAATTTTTACCCTCTCCGGAGCTTAACTGGAGCCCAAGAAGTGCAGTAAAACGTTGCGCATGTATATGTAGGAATGCAAATATACATTCATTTGTATTTATTTGCATTTATAATTTTACACACATTTTGATAAATACTGTAGGAAAAATCAAGGTCAGGGTTGCTGGTGGAGTGGGCGGGTGAGTTAAATTCACTTGTGAATTTAAATAGAGTGATCAGAATCAGTTTCGTTGAGAAGGTACCGTTTGAGTAAATTCAGAAAGGAGGTGAGGAGGATCACTCCCCTGCAGATTAGAAAAGGAGACAGGTTTGAATTTGCTCAGATTGCTGATAAAAAAAATCCTATTAGATAATCAGTAAATGTGGCACACATATCATATATATATCCATTAATAGCAGTCAGTAACCACTTTTTTTTTTCTCTTCAAGAGAAATGTTCATCAAGTGTTGGCTGCATCTAAATTTAAAGATACCATTGGCTGGGGGAGAAGCTGATGCATGAACTGCAGTGTGAGGAGAGAGTGTGTAGAAGGTGGGAGGGGTGGTGAACTCTATCCTTGTCCTGCAGCAATCAGGAGTTATGGAAGGGTTTGGCCTGACCCTGTTTGCCTTTTGCTGTGCTGCTGTTAACATGCTGGTAACTTCCAGTGTGTTTCCCTCTCATAATTCTGAATTATGGGCCCAAAGCAGTTTCTTTCTCATTGATTTGTTGTCATTATGTCAGAAACACGGTACTTTGTTTTACTGTCAAAGATCTCATTTCTTCAGTCGTAAAATGATGCATAAAAAGTGGGACACAAAACAGAGACTGTTAAAGAAGCATATGTGCCCAGGAGCCATCAGCCAAGGAGTATTTTTGTTCCTTTATTTTCAGCCCAGTGGTTCGTTTGGTGCCTGAGATCTTGGTAGAATGACTTAAGGGCCTTATGAGAAGGAAATTTGTATGTGGCTTTTTATCTGTGCAAGACTAACTTTGGGCCTCTCTTGTACTAATTGTGTTTTCAAGATCCTTTCATATGCTGGAGGTCTCCGGGAGGGAGAGCTGGGTCTGACACTTTGGCCCTTTAGCTGGTGTGCTTGCTGCCTGCTAGCTGGTGGGAATTCAGAGTGCTACTGTGTCCTTAGGTGTTGCTCTTTGAGGCCAAAGTGGCATTCCCTTGCCCCAGTGGAGCGTGGCCAGCCCTTTTCTCCACTTTTCAGAAGGTAGAGATAGAGTTTCTTTGAAGTAAGCATGCTATTTCTGGGAAATATTTTGTTTCTGGAAAAGAAAAATTCTGATGTCCAAATTGTCATTAGCTCTTGCTTAGAGAGCAGTTGTGGGATTATTTGCTTTGTTTTGTGTATGTGTGTGTGTGAGCGGCAGTGAGGAGGTTGTTCATGTTTTAATCATATGGGTGGTTATTTTGTTATCAGAAACAAGCCATTTGGGACTAGAATAACCTTGTCATTCCTCACAAGCCATTCCAGACTTGGCCTTTTACAGGTTCTGAGGGACAGTCCAGCAGGGTAACAGAGCTGAGTGAGGTGGCTGGGACAAGGGCTTTCTTTCATCTATTCATTCATCACCGTTGGTTTCTCAGGCTGGCTGTGCTCTGTGCTGGGCAGACTTTCTTGGGCTTTTTCTGTAAAAGCCAGTTCTAGTCCCAGGACCAGAGATAATTGAAGGGGGGGAAGAAGGCACCAGAATTAAGTAAGTTTATTTATGTGGAAAGGGAGATGAAGAGGACAAAGAAGTTGATCTCAAAGCTTCTTTCTAGTCTCACAGTCCAGATCCTAGAATTCATTACAGTTCAATTACAAAAAAAAATATTACCAACTGCTATATGTGAGGCCCTCTGCTGGATGCTAAAGATAGATAAGACTGGCTGCTCTTGTCCAAGACAGGATAGAGTTGGAACCAGCGTGGGCAACGTAGTGACTTAGCGAGACCCAGTCTCAAACAGTCAGGATATAGCTCAGTGTGGAAGCTCTGGGTTCAATCTCCAGTACCAAAAAAAAAAATTCCCTTGGGCAACATAGATAATAAGTGATACAGATATAGAAGTAATAAGTGCTACGATGGAGCTGGGAAAACAGGAAGCCTTTATTGCTCCCTTCCCTTGGTGGAGCCAGCAGGGAGAACCATAAATCATAATAGAATGCCGGGCCTGGAACATAATGTATGCTTGGTAAATTGCCCAATCAAATGAAGAAAGGTATAAAAAGATGCTAAAAATATAACAGCTGGGAAAGGGGAGCAAGCCACGCTTAAAACATGCAAGTGCAGGAAGTGAAATACCCTGAAGGATAGGAGTGAGCTGAAGTAGGAAGGGCTTTGTATATGTGGGCCAGGACCTTAAGCAATAGGCCAGTGGGCCTTTAACTATAAGAGCCTATTTTTACCATGAAACACACATGCCATTGCTTATTAGATTTTGTCAGTCAACAAACAGTGTTGATGGAAATATCGAGGCATCTCTTACACTTACCTTGCTGCTGGCACTCCTCTCCTCTTCCCAGATTGCCAGTAATTCGGGGATGACTGCTACAGGCCGCATCAGATCTGTGGGGTCACAGTTGTCCATGTTACATTTTTTGCCTACTTGCAGTTTTCTTTTAGAGCTCTTAGGAGTGAAGGATGGAGAATGATTGCTGATTGGCTGAAGTAACTTTCAGTCACTCGGGAGAGACTGCTGAGGAAACCTTTGCCCTTTGAGTTAGTAGATGACTCCTCTCTCTCCCAACGCTCTTCTCCTTCCTGACCCTGGGCTGGTGCCAGTCCACGGCAAAATTAGAAAAATGGGGACCATTACATAGCAATATTTCCATGTAGCTAAGTTTATTACCTTTAAATGAAAGGTCTTCATTTTACATTGTCCATCTTTTTCCTCAAAATATGTCAAAATGTCTTTTAGTTTGCTGGTAATAGTAAGAAGCTATTTTGTTTAAATATCTTTTCTTGAAAAATTAAAAACTGGTAACCCAAATGTTGATCTAATTTTTTTTTTTAAACTGTTTTAGTAGTTTGAAGTCTAAAAGCCAGGAAACCATTGCAGGACGCTATATTACCTCTCTTAAATGAGTGCCTTGAAACAAAATGGGTTGAGTCTGTGAAATATATGGCAATTCATAAAAAAGGGAAAGACTGTTAGAACACATCTCCTGAAAGATCGCAGGAAAATTACCCTTTATGAATATAAATAAAAAATCTTCAACAAAATACTAGCAAACCAAATCCAGCACCGTAGCCAGGAATATTATGTGTCGTGATCAAGTGAGTATCCCAGGAACAGTAGGTTCATTAACATCTGAAAATTCAGGTACTATACCTGCTTGTCAGAATGAAAGCCAAAACCTACACGGTTCTCAACAGACCCAGAAAAAGCATTTTCAAAATTTAATGGCTTTTCATCATTTTTTAAAACCCTCAGTAAACTAGGAATAAAAGGGAACTTAACAGCTAAAACTTCCATCAGACTGGATGGAGAAAGACTGTACACTTTTCATCTAAGCTCAGGAACAAGAACAGGAAACCAGCTGCTGCTCTTCTGTTCAGCATTGCACTGGACAGGTAGGCAAAAAAGTGAGGTAAAAAGGCATCCAAGTTGGAAGGGAGAAGTAAAACCATCGTCATTCTCAGATGACATTTTATATATTAAAAAAAAACTAAAAGTCGCAAGCGCAAGGACCCAAGTTCAATCCCCGGTACCAAAAAAAAAAAACAAAAACTAAAGAATTATTAAAGTATTAGACCTAGTAAGTTCAACAGGATACAGGATCAATGTACAAAATTAGTTGTATTTTTATACATTAGCAATAAATAGCCTGAAAATGAAAGTAAGAAAATAATTTCACTTAGGGTAACATCAAAAAGAATACAATTCTTAGGGATAAATTTTAAAAAAGAGCAGAAGAGACTTAGAAAAACCAGGTAACATTGTTGAAGAAATTAAAAACCTCACTAAATGGAACGACTTCCCACTTGTATTGATCTGAGTACTTAGTATTGTTAAGATGGCAGTACTGTACTGTACTCCCCAAATGGATCCACAGATTTAATAAAATCCCTCTCAGAATCTGAGTTGGCACTGGGTGTGGTGGTGCCCTGCAATCCTAGCACTTGGGAAGCTGAGACAGGATGGCTATGAGTTTGAGACCAGCCTGGAGGTACACAGTTCAAGGCTAGCCTGAACTGCATAACAAGACCCTGTCTTAAAAAACCAAAGCAACAACAACAATTCTCTTTTGGCTTCTTGGCAAAAATTGCTTATCCTGTAATTCATAAGGAAATGCAGGGGTCTCATAATAGCCCAACAGTCTTGGAAAAGAGCAGTCTCAGATCTATTTTCTGAGGTCAAAACACACAACCGAGCTACAGGTGATCAACAAAGTGTGGCACTGGCATAAAACGTAATGTCCATAGAATTATTCATGATTGCCAAGAAGTGGAAACAGCCCATGTTCTTCAGCTAATGAATGGATGGAGCCAATTTGGAATAGCCATACAATGGAGTATTATTTTACAGTACCAAGAAGTAGAATTGAGACGTTCTGCAATGAGGATGACACTTGAAAATGTTACACTAAGTCAAAGAAACCATTTCCATTTATATGTAGGAGATCTCCAGAGTATGCCAACAACAGTGTAAATAATAATAGTAAATAGATTAGTGCTTGTCCAGGTAAGGAGGCAGAGTGAGAAGGGGGTGGAGCACTGGAAGGTGATAGCTACAGGGTCCAGAGTTTCACTTGGGGGTGAGGAAAGTATCCTAAAGTTGATTGTGGCAGTGGATGCACAACACTCTAAATGCACTAGAAAAAGTTGAACTTTACACTTCAGGTGGGTAATTGTATGGTATATGGTATAGGAGCTCCTTAAAGCTATTATGAAAAACCAGATCCCAGGATGTAGCTGAGTGCTAGAGCACATGCTTAGCATTCGTGAGGGCCACGTTTTCAGTCTCCAGCACCACACACACACACACACACACAAGTTGATAGGCTTGTATGTACAACTTACTTTTTCATGGCGCTGATTTTTACCATGAACCCTGTTTTGAACTTCCTTTCCTTTAAACCATTCTAGAGCTAAGCCTGTCTGCGCAGTGCCTGCAGCTGGAGCACAAAAGGACAAGTTTCACCTCGCCTGGGAATCAGAAGCTCTACTTCGACACCCATGCCATAGTGTGCTTCCTGGAAGAAAAAGGTAATCCTCTCTCAGTCCCTCAGCGCCACAGAAAACAGTTTCATTCACCTTCTCATATAGCTTGCAGCTAACCTTTCAATCTTTAAGTCCTCATTTTTTGTTGAAGGGTGTTTTTGCTTTATCACTACAATGGAGATTTTTCTCTTACACATTTCTCTTTGTGTGAGTGAAATGCATTTTTATAACCTCACTCTGGAAGAGTAGTCTCCTAGATCAAAATTTAGACGCAAGTCGGTAAAACTCAGAGATAATTCCTCTGACGAGCACAAAAGAAGTAGTTTTATCACTGTGCATCCTGTGTGCTTTTACAAATTTTACAAAAATGAAATGTTGCTGAGCAGTAGGTACTGATCATTTCCAACTCATTTGTTTCATGTGTTGCTGTTGAGTGAATTAATATAAAAGATTACTCCAAGATGTATGGCATTCCTTCAAAGTGCACTTAGAATGTAGGGAGCAGTCTCGTACTTAACCATATTCAGATAAACACACCCATTATAATTCTGTATTCTGTCATGCATATAGTCTTAAAATCAGAATTTCAAATTATGCCCTTGAAATAACTGTGTTCTTACCTCACGGTCGAGTTGTTTATCCAGTTGTGTATGTTCATATTTGAAAAGCTAAGTGCTGTATAATAAATAATGTTCACAGCTTTTCTTGTCAAATTTGAAACAACGGTTTTTTTCACCAAAATTTTTTTCAGCTCAGAATTTTAAAGGAAAGTAAAGATGGGGGGTTGTTATAAAGTTATCTTGATAAGTGGTTTTCTTACTTTTGATTTCAAACCTTGACCCATGGTTATTTGCATTTTTTAATACCGGAGATGTGAGGGCTCTGCCCATGTTGGGTGAAGGCCGAGTCTGAGCTGACCAGTCTAGGTTGAGGTGAGGAAGGGTTCTCCAGGGAGTATCTGCCCTGTCTTTATCCAGAGCCATGCCTCCTGATGAACGAAACTTCCCTGAGTCTGTGATCTCACCCCTCTGCTGTCCCATTCCCATGCTGTATGAGCATAGCTCATACATAACTCAATAGGTTTTAAGGCTTCGTTTCTGATTTTTCTTACCTCTTTCTCCTCCCTCAGGTGGTTATAAACTATGTTTTTGGAGTTTGTTTTGTCATCTGCATAAATCCTTCCTTTCCTTCTGTTGTGCCCAGATCGCGAGGTCCCCAAAGACCACCAAGGAGCCAATTCTGATGCAAACACATGAGGGTTGTTTATTCAAGCTCGAGCAGGGACTCTCATCCGACACTGACACTGACGCAGCGGGTCAGGGTTGAGATCCCCGACTCTAAAACACCAGGGGTTTTTATAGAGGTTACAGCAAGGTGCGGGGTTTTCAAAAAGGCGCGGGGTTTCAAATCACACGCAAATCACACAATTGGCTAGCATTTAGCAAGTTTTGAAAGTTTAAACCTGATTGGCTGTGCCTTGCACGCTGAACTGCAAACGGTTGCTCAAGTCATCGAAAAGAACATCTGGGATACTGGGGTATTGGGGTAACTACTGATTAGCTGTTGCAGGCCATCGAGAAGAGCATCTGGGACATTGAGGCAGCTACTGATTAGCTGTTGCTAGGCGACTGCTGAACATTATCACAGGCAGGTGGCCAAAGTACATCTTGTGGTTTTTCTTGGAACTAGAGTTTATGTCCAGGCCACCTTACTCTAAGATGGGGCCAAATTTTAAAATGGAGTCACTCCGGCCTCACACTTCCTCCCTCTCTATTTTTGCTGTACTGGTAATTGAACTTAGGGCCTTTGAATTTAGCCACTGCCCTAGCCCTTTATTGAGACAGGGTCTCACTGAGTTGCCCGGGCTGAGCTCAAACTTGCCATCTTCTTGCCAGACCCTTCTTTTTAAAAAATTAAACTTGTATTTTTAGTTAATTCATTAAAAATTTACATATTACGCCTGCTGCGCAAGCGCAAGGACCTGAGTTAGATCCCTGGTACCAAAAAAAAAAAAATTTACATATTGAATAGGATATGTATACTTTTCTCACAGTTGTCAAACCTAATTATGTTTAACCATTCTTTTTAATAAAAATTTAAAATTCACAAAAGTCATGTTCATTTTCTAAATATTAGGAAGGCAGAAAAGAAAATAGAAAACAGAACCTCATACACCAGAGCTAAACAGTGGTAGGGCCTGTGCTGGGTGTTCCTTCTGGGTGTGCAGAATGTCAGGTAAAAGGGCCGAAGACCAAGACCAGACCAGGTCACAACAAGCCTTTATTAGGGGAATAGATCTGCCGGGCTGTCTCTGAACAAAGGAGAGACAAAAGCAATATGGCTGGGGCAGGGAGAGTCTTTTATAGAGACTGGGGTGGGGCTTGTAGGGGCTGAGGCGGGGTTGAGTGAGGTAGTGACTAGGGAATGGAGGAGCCGGTGATGTCACTAGGTGGTAGGAGGTGAGCGAGTATTAGGTTACTGTCTAGGTGGGAACAGGGGCATGCTGGGAAGAAGGGTTTGTTCTTTGGTGGGAGCAACCATCTTGGCATGATGTCACACAGGGGAGGGGGCAAGGCACCATAGGAAGAGGGCAGCTACTATACTTAATAGCTGCTGAGGTGGTGGGAGACCTATCACAGAACACACATTTTGAGAAAGTAAAAGATTTTGAATAAAGCGGTGGGAGTAGGTCTTTGGGCATCCTTTTCTTCTTTCAACCTGTGTCTTTGTTAATTTAGTCCTATGCTTAATCTCATTCTTAGATATTATATTACTTACAGCTGGATTCAAACAAATATATCATTGATTAATCAGAAGAATCAGCAGCTCCTCTGAAGTTCTTAGAAATGAAAGGATTTAATAGAAAGAACTACTTTTCAGGGACTGAGTTTTAAGCATTGTAGAACTTCTAATGTGAGATACGCATTACCTATAAGATTACTAAATCTTAGAGAGTTGAATCTCTATAATTCAGTTCACCATCATTTTTAAGTTTCAAAGAACAGCCTTTTGTTTTTCCAGTTTGGACCCTCCAGCCTAGTGACTAAAGAAAAATTGTGGAGCGAAAAGGAAAGAATTGATTGTGACTTTTAGCACTAAATCAGTTGACAGCTAGGTTACTATTTAGAGTCAATAATAATCAATAATGTGACTAATTTATGTTGGATATAAAATAATGGTACTTTCTTATTTAAGAAATTTATTTTTTAATAACATGCATTTTACAATTAAGTATCTCGTCCGGTGTAGAAAATTTATACAATTGAGAGAAATACGAAAAAGGAAATGAAAATTGCAGTGAGTCTTTGTGAAATTACAGAAACAGGCTGGGAGGCTGGGTGTGTAGGTCAGTGGTGGTGTGTGTGCCTGGTGTGCCCGAGGCCCTGGGTTGCATCCTCAGCAGAATTACTACGGAAGTAGTCTTTGCATCTGTAATGGTGGGTCTGGCTCTTGTTTTTCACTTGACCTTGAGCAGGCATTTCCTGTGTCATTAAACTTTCTTTGAAGACACAATTTTGGACAATTAGGAAGGGCATTTGAGATCATCATTCAGCCCAGCCCCCTGGCTGTGCCTGGGGAGACAGATGATGGAAGCAGGTCAGGGTGACAGACAGGTCCGTCCGCCCCGGTGGCTCTGGTCTCTCCCCACTTTCTTGTCACACTGTGCTTTCCCTCTTTTCTGAACTTAGACCATTGAAAGAATGTGTAAGTTTGTTGTGTATTTTCTTTTGCTGACAACAGCACTTCTTCTGAGCGTGGTTGTCTTTGTGTGCTGGCTTAGGGTTTACAACTCAGCAAGCAGAAATCATTGTGTCTGCATTGGTCAAGATCATGGAGGCCAACACGAACATCGTCTACAAAGACATGGTCACCAAGGTGCAGCAGGTTAGCATGGTCTGGGAGGTTTCATGGATTTGAGATCTGAAAGAAGGGTATTGACTGTGTAAATGTGAATGCCATTTTCAGATAATATTCAATTGAAAAGTATGTCATAATTTTAGCTGAAGTTAAGGGGCAAAAGATTGCAGTAGTATAAACAGTATTAAAAGCTATTTAGTCAACTATTATCGACTCATCATTCTTGACAGTTCATTGTGCTCAAACGCGGACTTCCAGCAAAAACAAACTTAATAAGTGGAGCTGTGGCTGGAGTTGTAGCATGGTGTCACGTTTTTGGGCCTCAGGCCGCCACACTTCTGACAGACTTGTTTGGTAGCAATGCTGGTGTGTGCTTCTGTTCTTTTCAGTTCACAAGGGAGAGTGACACTACCAGCCCTGTATTCTTCTACCTCATTAAGATGATAGCATGCAGAGACAACAGGAGGTAGACGTCTAGGCTGTGCTATATTATTGGCTTTGTTTCTCTTTTCCTAGGAGATCACTCTTCAGCAAATAATGTCGAAGATTGCAAATGTGAAAAAGGATATGATTATTTTGGAGAAGAGTGAATTTTCAGCCCTCAGAGCAGAAAATGAGGTAAAACTACAGAGCCACTTACAGAATTTGTTTTGTTAAGACATCAAGATGTATGAGAAATACCTACATAAAAGGGTAAAGTAGGTGTGTCACGGCACATTTCTGAGTGTACACCACCTACCGGGTTAGGAGTCAGAGTGGGACCAGCGCCCAACATCTGCTCCCCTGCTGGAGGCCGCTGCTCTCCTGGCTGCTGACGCCCTGCACCAGTGTCGCCTGTTCTAGAACTTCTGATGAAAGTACAGAGTGTATCTTGTCTTTTTTCTCATTGTCTGTGGTGCTAAAGGAATGCGCCGGATGGATGATGACATCTAAGGTGATGTCATTAGGAGGGTCAGGTTTGAGGGTTTGAGTCATCACGAACCAGTGCCGCTGGGCTGTGTGTCTCTTTCCCTTCCTTAATGTGCGGTCTAGAAGAGCAGCATTAGATACCATTGTATGCGTGCTATCTGTCTGACATCCTTATCTTCAGTCCTACTTAAAGTTCCGTAAGGGAAGGTTATTATTGCTAGTTGATTGTAGCTTCATAATAAACCTTGTTAAAAAATTGACCGCTAAAATTGTCCTTGATGTCAGCTATTTGAGGGCAGAATTTGTTCAAATAAAAATTGAAGGAGGTATTGAAGAAAGCAGGGTTGCTGAAAGAAACTGTATGTTAGACAATTGTATCACCAGTTTTATGGAACCTTCACTGAGAACTAAAACTAATTTCAGGGCTTACACATGCATTGTGGTACAGTTGTGGCTTTGTATCCTAAATGGATTCATGTGTGTGATGAATGAGGGAAGAAGTTGAACTTTTACATTAATGCATGTTGTAATATTTATTGATCAAGTTTTGTATTTTTCTTTCTTATCATATCCTTGTTTCTTTCTAATGTGTTCTTAGAAAATAAAGCTTGAACTACATCAGTTAAAACAGCAAGTAACGGTAAGAATCTTTCCTGTTTGCTGCTTTGTAATTATATATGTCAGGAATGCATTATACGCTCTTAAAAACTTTGTTCTCTGTCAAATGTTTGTGTAATATGCCTCAAAAGTACACAATGAATAAATTAACCAGTGTCTAACGAAATTCATTAAGAAAATTGTTTTCTAGGAGGAATTAAATCATTTTAAAATAAAAATATCTCTTAAGTAGCTACATGGAACCCTTAGAATCTCTTAGAATTACATGTGATTTTTTTTTTTTTGGTACCGGGAATCAAACTCAGGCCCTTGCACTTGCACAGCAGGCTGCGAAACCACTGAGCTAAATCCCCAGCCCTACATGTGATTTTTAAAGGTGTTTTTTGTTTTTGTTTTTTTGATACTGGAGATCGACCTCAGGACCTTACGCTGGCAAGGCAGGCGGGGGAACTGCTGATCCCTGACCCTAATGGTGGTTTTTCTAAAATACCAGGTCAGCTTTTTTTTTTTTTTTGGTAGAAAAAATATTGGTGTTTAAAAAGAAAAGATTTTGATAAGTTTCAGAGAGAAGGCTTTTATTTAAACCACAATTTAATATTTTTCTTCTTTGACTACATCTTTGCTTTCCAAGGAACTGCTTTAACTATAAATTCCACAAGGGAGAATATATGGGAATTTTGAGGTTAAAAGCAACAATAAGGCCTATAGTTCCAGCTAATCGGGAGGCTGAGGGAGGAGGATCATGTGAGCCCAGGAGTTTGAGGCCAACTTGTGCAATAAAGTAAAATGCCACCTCAAAAACAACAAAAACCCAGTAGCCAAAACCATTATGATTGATAGAGAGATAGATAGATAGATAGATAGATAGATAGATAGATAGATAGATAGGTAGATGGATGATGGATGGATGCATGGATAACTGGGAAGCCCTAAGACAGAGCTGGCTGCAGGCATGGCTTGTCCAGGGTCCCCATGTCACTGGGCCCTAGGTGCCTTTACCAGGAACCCCTGGCTGCACCCTCACCCCGGTTGGCTGCTTTAGGGCAGAAACAGTGGGTGATCCCCACGTTGCAACCTCAGAAGGTTTGGATTTCTGATCGTGGATTTCTCTTTTCTTTGTCATTTGCCTTCCTACTAGGATGAAGTGATCAAAGTCCGAACAGATACCAAGTTAGACTTCAATCTAGAAAAAAGCAGAGTAAAAGAATTGGTATGTTCCTTTATGGAAGTTGATTCTGAGTTCATTTCTTTTCAGGGTAGAATGCTGGGTTAAGTCTGTTTCATATACAGGTCACAAGTACTGTTGAGTTTTTATCTACTGAATCAGTATAAACAGATTTTTAAATTTCAGTTATATTTTGGATTAGTGCTTTTATTTGATCCTTTCAAAAGTAACACTGAAATTAAAATCTTGGTCATATAGAGTTTGATTCTTTGTTTGATTATATATTACATAGACATTGATAAAGAAACGAAACTCAATCTTGATCTATTTAATACTGATTTAAATCTACACATGCCCTAATTCTGCAAAAGATGATTGTCTCAGACAAGTTTTATTAGGTTATTAATATAAAATAATGTTAAATTGATCACTGAAATATAAGATTAAAACATATTTCTATATTGGTTTTTTTGAGGAGGTTTTTGTTTGTTTATTTGGGGGGTTGTGCTTGGCTGGGGTTTTTGAAACCCAGGGCTTCACTCATGCTAAGCAAGCTCTTCCACTGGGCCACATCCTCAGCTCCATATATTTTCTTTTAAATACAAAGAGAAGTTTTATGTTTTCATAAAAATAGGTATTGAGCCAGGCGTGGTGGTACACACCTGTAATCCCAGTACTCGGAAGGCTGAAGCAGGTGGACTGCCACAAGTTCGAGGCCAGCCTGGGCTACATAATGAGTTTAAGGCCACCCTGAGGTACATATTGAGACCCTGTCTCAAAAAACAGAAAACAAGAGGGGCCCGGGGATTTAGCTCAGTGGCACCATGCCTGCCTTGCAGGCTCAAGGTCCTGAGTTCAATTCCCAGTAACACCCTCCCCCCCAAAAAAAAGAAAGGAAAAAAGAATACACATTGGATGCCACTGGTGATTTCTGACCTGTCTGGATGTTCGTCTGTCTCCTGCTCCGTGACACTAGTGAGACACTGCTCTTATTCTCAGTATAGCGAGAAACAGGGCCTGTGGGGGGTGTTTCATAGTGTGAATTGAAGATGCATGCAGAAACTTGAGTTCTCACAACTGTTCTTCATCTTCTTTTTTACAATTTACCTTTAATCAAAATGTCCTCTAAATGCTAAATGAAGCTAATACTGAAACTCAAGTAGGTAATTGCATTTTGGCCCCACTGCTGGATATGGATAGCTAAGTTGAGCTTCATTATAAAAGTTATTGTTCATATTAGTCATCTTTCTAGTCTTGTAACACTTTTCAACCATGAAAATTAAATTTTCAAGCCTAGAATTTGTATCTAGAATAAAAAAAAACTCTGGTTATACCTATGTCCTTTTTGATTGTTTTTAGAACTGTGAATTCACTTGGTTTAGGAAAATGATTGTGTGCCTGTAGCTAACCAAGCCGGAAAGAAATACATCAAGGAGACTGGGAAATACAGGATTTGAATGTAAATTAAACCCAGTGAATTTTCAGGATTTACTGACCCAGCTGGGAAGTTGTTCTCAGCGATCCTGAACTTGGATTACTCTGAAGCACAGGACAGTGCTTATATAGCCAGTGTTATGTCGCAGGCAGTGATGAAGCCGAGTTATTTAGCCTTCTCATTCTCTGTACAGTTATAATATCCAATTAAAGATTAAATTAGAGTTGGGGTTGTAGCTTAATGGTAGAATGCTTAGTCTGTGTGAGGCCCTGGATTTGATCCTTAGCACTATTAAAAAAACAAACAAACAAACAAACAAATTAACTGTTTTGACATTTACAGCCAGTTTCAAAGACTATATGGCATATAAACTGTTTTGAAGATCAGGGAGCTGGAGCCACATAGATGTTATTGTCACATAGATGTGACAATATCAAAATTTTAGGCTTTTCTTTTCCTTTGTGGATGAATCAATGTTCCAGGGAAGAATAGAATGCAAAGGTGTGCAGAAAATGCCATTCTACCCTGCCCTCTGGTGGTGGTCAGATGCATAGCACCCTCCTGGGTTGAAGCCCTGGCCTTGGAGAGAGCATTGTTCGGTTTTGAGACTCGTCCTTAATTTGGGGCTTAGGAGGTTTTAGGGTTTTTGTTTTGTTTTTACTTCTCAGCACTGCAGTTTTTATACTCTAGCCCCCTGACAGTCCCAGGGCAACATTTTATAGTTAGAAAATTTCTAGATACTTCCAAGTATTCACTTTTCTGCTATCACCATGTTAATTTAGGTCTTGAACATCAGTTAAACTTCGGGGTTGTCGTTTGCTCATTTGATCCTAACGCCCACCACTGATGTGTCTGATTTTGATTTTAGTGTCAACAAAACTGTTCCAAATCTTTTCACTGACGTTAATAGCCAAAGGCAAGAACCCATTTTAACTTGTCACCTCTTAGTAACACTGTACTGGGACCACGCCCAAGTAGGATCACTTGTTATTAAAGCCAGCATGTGATGGCTTAGTGTGTTCCTTGTGTTTATAATGTGTTTCATGATCATGGTACAGTGTCCCTGTCACAGAACAATATCCTTGCAGCTATTTTTTCCCTAACTGTAATTGTTCCGGTCTTTTCTCTAAGCCATAGGGGTGGCCTGTTCTGGTTATAGTTATCCTGAGCTAGCTCCTACACTGAATTGGTTCTTTGCCACTTTCAAAGCAAAAAGCACATGACGCAGGATCTACCAAAATTGGTCCTAGGAAATGTCAGAACTTTTTTTTTGCCCCCAGGACTGGGGATTGAATCCAGAACCTTACACATGCTAGGCAAGTGGTCTACCACTGAGCTAGACCTCAGCCCCTCCAGAAGTGCTATTCTCATGGTGGGAGGAAGCTGGGGATATCATAACCAAGAGATGCAGAGAGAAACATAGCAGAGGGGACAGGTGACAAAATGGAATCAGAGGAAGGAGTATAAATATGAAACCTCCGATCACAGATGTGGAGAAGGAGGCCAGTGGGTTGTTGTCCTGGACCTGGTTTTCTGGTAAGGCCCAGAAAGGAGAAGGCAGCAGAGAAGGGAGAAGTAGATCCACCTCTGACCCGAGTTATTTTGTTTCAGTATTCACTGAACGAAAGGAAACTGCTGGAATTGAGGACGGAAATAGTGGAATTGGTAAGATATAAGACTTTGACTTTCTTTGTCATTTTATTCATCCTTGCTTTATCCCAAGCATGGTTACTGTTGTTTATGTTAAGGAAGATGTGCAGGCTTAGTGTCATTTTTTTTATTGTGGAGAAGTATCTGTTAACATAAAAATTAGCATATATATACATATATATATATGAATGATTCAACAGCATTTGTTTTGCAAAATTGAAACTCTGTGTCTCGTAACCTCTGACTCCTCATTGCCTCCTCCTCCAGCCCCTGGCAGCCACCTGTGCTTCTGTCTGTCTCTATGCGTTTGACTATTCTGAATAACCTCAAAGAAGCAGAATAATAGTTCTTGTCTTTGTGGCTGACATATTTCACCTACCCTAATGTCCTCAAGGCTCAACCATGTTGTTGCAAGGGACAGATCTTTCTTAAGGCTGAATAGTATTCCGTTGGGTGTATACACCACATCTCATTTATCTATCAGTGAACACTTGAGTTGCTTCTGTCTCTTGCCTGTTGTGAATAATGCTGTAATGAACGTAGCTGTACAAATGCCTGCTTTCAGTTCTTTTGGGTATGTTACCTGGGACTTCTGAAACCTGGGAGAGTCTTGCATGAGAGGATTCTGGAATATTGGAATATTATCCTGGATTAGTTTTCTACTCATTCAAGCATTTATTTCCTTTTTCTTCACCTGAATTGGTAACCATAGGAAGCTACTTGTTCTAGGATACTTAGTGAAGCATTCTCGGTGTTTTTATGCATTAATGCAATTATATAACCTTTATCAGTCAAACTCACTGCCATATGGGATTAAATATGTAGTTTATTTAACTGTTTTATTTTTGGAGAAGAACACAAAGGCTAGCCTTAGTAGACAAGCCTTGTACTAATAAAACATGTAGTGTTTAAATGGCAGAAGAAGACAACTCATAAAAATGTACTAGAATAGTATCAAGACAAGCTTTTAGATTATCTAAGGCTATATTCATTTTTCCAGATAACTTCTGAGTTTACTTTATACCTTCCACTAAGACGTATTTAGAGAGATGGGGCGAAATCATTGCCGTTGATCACAGACTGGCCTCATGCTATAATACCGTGTCATTTGTAGGACAGTCTATAGTTTACCGAAGGTTTTTCTCATAGATTATCACCTGTGATTTTCTCAGGAGCCCTTGTGGCCAGTGTAAAGGCAGTAGGTTGGGTTGGGTTTGGTTTCATTTTTCTAAACACAGGGAAACTCAGGCCTGGAGACACTGTAGGGGTCCTGGGCTGGTGGCCTGAAGCCCAGCTCCTGGGCTTACCCCAGGCTGCCCTGTGTGCTCCCTGCCCAGAAGGACTGAGAACAGAGGGGACAGTAGCCAGAGCACGCTCATGCTGGAACTTCTGTATTTTGAAAGCATGCCCAGCAGGATCGGGCACTGACACAGACAGACAGGAAGATCGAAACTGAGGTCGCTGGCCTCAAGACCATGCTGGAGGCGCACAAGCTTGACACGATCAAGTATCTAGCAGGTAAGCCGTTCCGTGTCTAAGCTCTCCAGGCAACCTGGAAAGGAGGTACCTGGGATTTATAAAGTCGGCGACAACTACTGCATTTATTTGAGCCTAGCACTTTTGTGCATGTGTTCTAACATCTCTTAAACTGAAAGCCTTTTCAGTTTCCCTCCCAGTACTCAGGAGATTGAGGCAGGAGGATTGTTGCAGGTTCAAGGCCAGCCTGGACTACATAGTGAGACCCTGTTTCAGAAAGAACAAAACAAAACAATTTCCATTAGATGAAGTATCATACTTTAATTGGCATTTTTTCTTTCTTAGTAGCAAATAAAAGTAATGATATAGTTTACAGTTGGTAGAATCATAAATTTGATAGGATACTATCATTGGGCTGTGGATATTTCGGATTATAGTGAAACTCAATACAAGGAATATATTATGAATGAAATGAAAGCCAGTTGAGTCATGATCGCTCTACTTCAATTGGTGACACTACTTTATTTTTCTTTTTGTGGTTCAGTGAGTACTGAGACACATCCCCAGCTATTTATTTTAAAGTAGGGTCTTGCTAAGTTGCCCAGGCTAGGCTGAAACTTGGAATCCTCCTGCCTCAGCCTCTTCAGAGTACTAGGATTACGGGCCTGCACCACCATGTCTGGCAGTTGGTGACATTACTTTTAAGGAGTTATTTTGCCTTTACAATTTTTGATCCAAGAGATGGGTGAAGATGTGAATATTTTTTTAAAAGTTAGCTATTATTTCAAGTCAGTTTTATCATTTTGGATTAATATTTTAAAGTTACAGCAGTGTTACAGTGAGATTTTGCTCTTTATGTTAAAGTTATGTGTCCCTGTAACTACAGATACATATAGTTTGTGACAGTGGAGTTTTTGTGATTCAAAACTTGTATTGAAAATTTTTCTGGAATATTGGATACATTTTTACTTTGAGCATGATGGTTTCAAGGAGTGTGGTTTCTTTTTTAATAGGCAGGTGTTTTATGGAGTACGGTATACCATTAAGCAAACTACTTTTTCTAGAGTTTTTAAAAAAATTTTTAGGTGAATAGGTATCATTGTATTCTTACACTTGATCTTAGCCAAAAGGCCGAGAAGCGATATCATTGTATTCTTAATAAACAGGTGACCCTGTACTTCAAGTCATCTGTAGATTACTTACTATGACTAATACAATGTAAAAAGCTACTTCCTCAAGTAGCAGTTAGGAGAACTAATAGCAGTCTCCATCGTCTTTCCTTACAGGGTCCATATTTACCTGCCTAACAGTAGCTCTGGGATTTTATCGCCTGTGGGTATAATAAAATGTCTATTTAAAGAGATTTCTATTGTTTTCCCTTAAGAATGCTAAATTGTTCCTTTTTTTCTTGTTTCAAATTTGAATCCTGATTTTTGACTTAATGCATATTATTTATTTTTATGAAAATTGTGGGCACATAACCAAGATAATGAGGTCAGAAATCCCTCAATCGCTCCTTCCGTCTCCTGTTTAATTGACTGTAACTGAGTGGTGTGGACCAGACATCAAAGATCCACTCCGCTGAACTGGTGAACTTGGCCTAACCTGTGGTGCAAACCGACAAGAAATTTTGGTATAATTCTCTGCAGTTTTAAATCTTTTGTCACACTGGAGATTCAAGGTCTCCACTGAAAGGACACAGTGACTTTAAGTGCTGAAGAATCATTGACATTCAACCCAAAGCACCAGCTCCTCTTGACCTAGGACCCAGTCCTCAGCCCAGCTCCTCCCATACCTGGGTGCTTCAGCTGCAGTGGGTTGGTTTGTTAATAACACACCTGCACTTCTGCACCTCAGTGACTGCCGTTGTCTGAGTCAGTTGTGTTACATTTACGTGTAATGTGCCTTCCAACAAGAAACACTTATGCCTAATGAAGCCTTGTAATTATGAGGGAGAGTTTTTACCTCTTAAATGCTAGATTTCCTTTCCTCCCTCGTCTTTCTCTTCCTTTTCCTCATGATTTGAGAACTATACTAATACTCTACTTGTGCCACTGCCTACCTAGAACACTTACTCATTCTCAGCATGGAATCCTACTTGAGTTTATGGTGCAGAATCTACTTTTCTTCTGGCCTTCCTCGGGTTATTAAGTAAGCAGAGCACTCTGCTTTCCTTCTCTAAGGTGACTAGATGGGGTGTCCACTTTCACAATGAAACTCACGCCGTTAGCGAGTCTGCCTTTGCCTGTGACCAGCTCAGACGGCACGCTTTCCAGATAAGAGAGCAGTCGCGCCCGGCAGCAGCCTCAGCGCCACTGATCTCTGAAGACATCCTTATCCATGCCTTACCTCTGTAATTAAAACTCGCATCCTCGATACAGCTGGTTTATTTTGCAGAGGCGCGTTCTCACCTTACTTGACTGATTGGCTTGTGGGCAAGAATAAGCAGTGTGGGAGCAATGGCGTCCATAGGGCCTGTCTTTCCCGGCATGCACATAGCACATGCGCAGATGCTCTGGCACAGCGGAGAAACCACGTAAAGAGCTGCTCACCCTGGAAGGGTCAATTACCCATCGTCACCAGCCAAGTTGGTAAAAATGAGTCTCCTTTTGCCCTTTGGGTGTAATTTCTAAGTTTTAGAAAGTGTTGTCATTGCCTTTTTAGAAAACATTTGTGTAAACCAAAAATTCTGTGCTCTGTACAACAGAAAAATCAAGTACTTTTATATCATTGGAAGCAGTTTCAAAGTGGGATGTCATAATTTAGTATTTTTCAAGTAGATCAAAAATTGTCTTAACAACTTAGAATATTTGCTATATTTCCCCCCTTTCCTAAAAGAGGTCCCAGAAAAGACAGCACATCCAGCCATCACCTTTGTATTATGGGGTTCCCTGAGTGACATCGCTGTAAGGCCACATTTGTAACTTCTGGAAGTCACACAACTTTGTTAGGCATAGCTGGAGAAAGGGCTTGGAGGTCAGACACTCTTACCAGGTCACACCTCCAAAATAAAGGCTCCCAAGAGGAGAAAGTGCTGTGCACAATTATGCTTCAGAGTAAACACTAACCTCATAAATGTTAAAACAAAGTGAAGTGTCCTTACATCTTTATATCCTGATCAGATATTTTTAAAATAAACTATGGTGGGGTGACATTCTTACCTCTGCTAAAAGCATCCCTACCGTCATCCCTGCTGGTGGCAGTGGACCGTGTCACCCTGTCACTTAACCGGGGCCTTTGGTTGGGCCGGGTGGTTCTCCGCAGCACAGCACAGCCTGTTTTGGCCTTGAGAACACCGGACCGTGCTTTCGAGTGTGGGATGGGTGCACATGGGGAGCTAGCAGGGCTTCGAATCATGTTCCCTTGTTCAGTCCCAAGGGTTATATTTGAAAAGCACTGAGCCAGAAGTACAAACGCACCCTTCCCACCACTGCCTGTCACATTTGCCACGCGTGCACACAGTGCCAGCACCCTGTGCTGCCTTGGCAGGGGATGCAGATCCCTTAGGAGATAGAAGCATGCAGTGGGAAGAGGCTGGCAGAAGCTGCAGGTGGCAGGCTGTGGGCACGGGGACTGCCACCAGGCTCGGCCTGACCACATGCCCATCGCGCCTGGGTGGGAGCGCAGTGCAGAGCCTAGAGCGGAGCACAAAGTAGAGCCTTGGCGCCTCCTTGTCATGTGCTAATCCTCTTCATCTTCGCCAGGTTCCCCTGCCTGCTTGCTTTCCTCTCTCTCCTCCCCTGCCAGTTATCTTTTTTCAGGAACCTAAACTACAATTTCACTCCCCCCCCCCCATTTTACTAATACCTGTTGGTGTGTACAGTTCTTTACTGGAAACACTCATTTTTATTTCTCTGTTGGTTTTATTGTCTTAGCTGGTTTTCTAGCTTAATATCTAACAAAACTAAGATTGTGTGCATGTATGTTTTTACCCGTCAAGTATGCCAGGCAGCTCAGTTGGGAAATCACAAGTTCAAGAAGAAAGGCTGGACTCAAACCAGAAGCCTTGCTGGAATTTGCCTCTGGAACACTTGAAAAATAAAAGTCCCGAGCCACAGCGAACCTGTCTGTTGCCTGGCTTGTCTCTGCCCCGGCTTTTACGTTGCTTTTCACTTTGTAGCTGTACCCAGTGACGTCATGGTCCCCTCTTCTCGTCCCCCTCCCCACCCTCTGCTCATCAATTAACTGCATCAGCCCTGGCAAGCATTTCTCTCCCTCCACCCTCAGATCCTGTGTTCTCAGACTTTTGCATCGTTCCGAATCAATATTCCATACTGGAACTCATCTAGAAAACTGACTGTAACATTTGTTTATCGAATTTGTTGTGGCTTTTTCGGCACTAAAGCAAAAACCTGTTGACTGGAAATAATTTATTCATTATATAAAATATTTGAGAATTTTTAGTCTATTGGATTTTATTTGGAAAATATTTATCTTTCTACAAATTTACACTTACATTCCTTCAATTATAAGCCAAATCATTTCTCAGCCCTTTTATTACCCGAGTATTCAGTTACATTGTATTATCTAATAAAATATATATAATATTTGTATCTAAAATAAAATATTTAATTCTATGTGATTAATGCACTTCTTTTCCCGTGGGAGGGGGTGCTAGGAATCGAACCCAGGGCCTCATGCATTCCAGGCAGGTGCCTGGGCCACCCTGGGCCACCTCCCAGCCCACTAAGGCACCTAACTGACCGGATGAGGAGCTCAATCACCTCCCCTGCAACTGTGAATTCCACCCAGTGGTATAACAAGAACACTAGTGAACCATAAATAACCCTCATATCTGAAACTTTGAATTTATACAGAAAATAAACTTGAGAGGAAATACTTGATTTGCCAAATAAATTTTTATTCAAAATAATTCTTTAGCCTGCTTCTGTACACTCTTGTAGCTACTTGTTTGATGGGAGATGATGAGGTTTATATACAAGTGTTTAGAGAGCAATGAGGACTCAAGTGCCAAGTAATGGAAATATAAATCAGGTAGCCTGGCCAGGCAGGGTGGTACATGCCTGTAATCCCAGCACTTGGGACACAGATACATAACGATCAACAGGAGTTCGAGCCCAACCTGTGCTACATAGTGAGTTCAAGGCCAGCCTGAACTACAGAGCAAAACCCCGTCTCAAAAATAAATAAATAAATAAATTTTTAAAAAACCAAATCAGGTACCCTCAGCAAGAAAACCCCTTTTTGACTTACAAAACTAAAACTCAGGGAGGCGGAAATACAGGCCATCCGGGTATCACAGTGACTGAACCCCATGTGGGAAGGGCCGGGCTGCATTTCACATCTCCAGTGTATGTGCAAACTAAATCCTTTCGCCTTGGGCTTTGGTTTTTCCAAAAATAAGAAAATTGCTTTAAATGAAGGCATGTATCTAGAAACAGGTTTCTCGCTGGAATCAAAGCTCTGGTGTTCCACAGCGGAGCTTCACCTGTCTATGCTGCCCGTCCTGTGCCCACCGGAATTCTGCGTCTGCACGGGAGGGAGCAGCCGGAGGGGGTCTAGAGAAGCCGCCCAGGATGGCAGCCTTAACCTGGAGCTCCTAGAGACTCCAGTCTTCCTTCACAGGTCACAAGTAGCAGGGAACTGTTTAGGCCAACCCTTTAAAGGAGTGAGTGGTTGAAATACATCGGTGTTAACGAGGCCCTAACTTCTTTCAGAACCATGTTTTTTCTTTCGCGCATGCGCTCTCAGTTGTTCATGCTGCTGAAGCTTCAGGTCAGCTTCGTATGGATGCCCAGGAAGCCCAGAAAGCTGCACTCAGAGCTGACCATCTGTGGTTCGTGCCCTTCAGCAAAGGGTCTTCAAACCCTTTCCTGGTCAGGATCCACAGCGAAGCTGCTTGCTGGTATCTTACCCCTCACAGCACAAACGTTGGTGTCTTTTCCCAGTGCAAGTATTTCTTACCGTTTCTCTTTTGCATTTTCGTAGTATGTACGGTTTATAGGAACCTCGCAGCCTTCCGAGGGGCGCTGTGACAGCCAGTGCCTCTCCAACCCTAAGAATGGCTATCTGCAAACCTCAGTAATCAAGATTATGGAGAAAAGATAAAGCTCAAAGGACCAAGGCACTCAACAAACCCATGCACACTTAGATTTTTTTCTCTTTTTACATTTGTGTCAGGTGCTTTCTGTGCAGGTAACATAAAATAAGCAGTGGCTTTGTCTAGTAACCTTTTAAGTCTAAAGATAGGTGATATCAGGATTGGATTATGAGTTAAGTGATGCCTTCAAGGAATAAGACTGTTTTCAACTTTCCTTTCTTGATCTCCCTTTAAATGATAGCTTTCAGCTTCGGGCTAAAGGTTATCTGATCACAAGAGGGCTGCTGAACCCCCAGGCATCACATCCTCACCTGACAGCATGGGGAGGAGGTGCATAAAGGCCATTCTCAAAAGAAATGCCATTGTATCTCATGGGCTCATAGGCCAAGATTGAGTTACAAAGACAGGTTGCAAAGGGAATGTTTCGCATTTTCAGCTCCTCTGGTAGGAGGTGGCCCAGCCTGAAGGAGGCTGGAAATTATTGCTGGGTTGCCACTCATCAGTGTTGATTAGTGTTCATGAAGATAAAAAACAGGTTGTACCCTACAGAGAGCCACATGATTAAGCTGCCATCCCTTACTTGCTAGAAACACCTCAGAAGTTGCCTTCCTTTTATTTCCAGGGGTGTGTGGATAATTTTCTCTTACTGCCCTTCACGTAACTTTTTTACTGGCTCTCAAACCTGTTTCTTTCTTTCTTTTTTTTTTTTTTTTTCCTTTTTTGGTACCGGGGATCGAACTTGGGTTCTTGTGCTTGCGAGGCAGGTGGTAGAACCACTGAGCCAAATCCCTGGCCCACAAAACCTGTTTCTTATTGTTCAGGGTCATCGTGATTTTCTAGGATCCCACCAGTAGCCCTGAGTTAGCTCGGATGCTTGAGGCTAATTAGAGAACGCACATGCACATGGGGTCTTTCTCAGAACTCCATATTCAGAGCTTTCTGTCCTTGGCTTTGTCACAGGTCCTAACCAGAAAGCAGCATTACTGAGGTACTGCCCCCTCCCTCAGACAGCAAGAGGGGAGCGATAGCTGCTGGCTTGGCCTCGGTGCTGCTGGGCCTTGTACTGCACCCCATCCCTCCTCGCAGCTAGCTGGCTCCATCTTCCCTCTTCTACAGGAGTTCCTCAGATCATACACGCGGGGTTTGAACTTTGCACAATTATAGGAAGTGTCCAAAAAAGCAAATCTACGTAGGGTTGGGAGAGCTGGTGGTTTTTAAAGAATGATCGAAACTCAGTCAGTGGCCTTCATGCTATTTCCAGGGTAGGGACCTGGAAGCCACTGTGTTTTCTACTAGAAAGTATGACCTTTGAGGGACGTTGCAAATTACATGTTCAGTGTCTTCACTCCCTCAGAGCAGGTGTACCTGCAGAATGAGGGCTGTGATGCATGTGTGCAACTGAATGGCAAGGTCGGGTGCTTATGAAAACAAAACTGCTGTTGCATGAGGCCTGGTCAGTTTTTTCCTGAGTTTTCCCCATTGATCTTTCTATGACTGTCATGTTGAGTTGTGAGCACCCGCAAATGCTAGCAGACCAGCAACCCTCAATGTTTAGGAGGAACATCTACCTACTGGCTTTCCTGTGTGCTAATAAAACCATGATTTTGTTTTAGCAACATGACACTGTGTCATGGTTGCAAAACACCCATTTTCACAGGCAGAGAATTTGACAACCACTAATAGGATGAGTCAGGAGCCCTGGGTGTAGCTCTTAGCCTCACCATTTGTGGCAGTCTTGGGAAAGCCATGTAGCTTCGCCAAGGCTCTGTCTTAGCCCCCTCTGGGAGCTACTGCAGAATACTGTGGATGGGGCGCCTTAAATAACAACATTTCCATCCTGCAGTTCTGGAGGCTGGGAAGTCTAAGGTCCAGGCGCCCGCAGAGCCAGTGTTTGGTGAGATCCAGCTTCTGGTTTACAGATGGCGGTGTCCTTGTGTCTCCTCACCTGTCTGTCCCTTAAGAGCACTAACTTCATCTTGAAGGGTCTGAGCTAATCACCCCCCAATACCTAATACCACCACACTGGGGTTAGCATATCGACACAGGGATTTGGGGGGAACATAAGCATCTGGTTGATAGCACCTTAGTCCTCATATTTCTAAATTAATGAGGACAATGGTGATGGGAATACTTACACAGCACGGATGTACTGCATTTCAGGCACAGTTCCGAAGTCTCCAATGCTCATCTAATCTTCACATCCCCAGGAAATAAATTCTGTAATGATCTCTACAGATAAGGACACTGAGGCATAGAAAATAGAAGTAACTCTCCAAGGGCACCCTGTGTGGTGACTCCAGACTCACACTGAAGCATTCTGACCCCAGGGAACAGATACCCTACCTGGCTGACCAGACTTGGTAAGGCTCCAAGAGGTCAAATATGTGAAAACACTTTGTGAAAGATAAACTCTGTACATGTAGCATAGAAAACGTTAAGTAGTCTGTGTGTGATAAGAGAAATACTAGTAATTCTATTTGCACAACCACCAAATAAACACCTTTCCCTTAGTATGCTCCCTGCAACCACCCCAGAGTACAATTTACTGAGAAAAACACAGTGTCCTAGCCAAAAAAAAATCTTGGAATGGCTAGGGTACAGACTGTAATAGCTACTGGAAGAATACAGATAGTACCTAGGAAGTCCCATAAGCTCCTGGGTGTTTATATAGGTCCCACTGTGATTGGGAATGTTCACTTTTTTATTTGAGTATCTTTATATTAAGGGGTTGATAGCAACATAGAGCCCATTGCTTAGGCTTTACATAATTCCAGCCATTTGATTCAAGACTCTTCTGACATGATTGCTAACTAGGATATTTCATTCTTAATTATCCAGATTGACCATCTACAGCACTTCACTGGAAAATATTTTCTTTCAGCAGTTTTTCCAGAGTTTCCCAGAAACCTGGGCTACCCAACCAGGTCCTTGGGAGCATCCACATCTTACCCAAATTCCACATTTTTTGCATATAAAACTCTTCTCACCAGCTCTCAGCCTTCCTGGAGACCCATGGACACCCCAAGGGAGCACACTTCTCAAGCAAAGCAGGACCTCAGGCCTGAAAAAGGCAGAAGAAAACATGGACACCTTTGCACCCTTGCAAGGTACACCATCTTTACACCCCCATCTCTCTGTGTTAAAATTTTCATCTGTATTTGCCCCTTTCTGGTGATGGTTTGTGTGTGTCCGTGTGTGTCTGTGTGTGTGTGTGTGTGTGTGTGTGTGTGTGTGTTACCAGAATAGGCCAAATCCACAGAGACAGAAAATAGATTAGTGATTGCTAAAGGCTGGTGAACTTGAGGGGAAATGGGAAGTAACTGCTAATGACACAGAGTTTGT